AGGAAAGAAAAAAAAAATGCACATAATTTGAAAATTCTAATTTACATGTTTTAAACTCTTTTAAATCACCTTTATTTAAGTCATTTTTATGAACTTTAATGAATCTTAACTTGAAAGTATCTAACGTTCATTCAGTTCACTTTAAACTAATGCTCATATTTTCAGTCGCTTTCAATTATTAAACTAGCTTTTCTTGCTCTGTAATTTTATAATATTTTACTTACATATCTTTTAGCAAAATGAAAATCGAATGCATGTGATTTTATTACTAAATCATGTTGAATTTCTTGTTATTGTAAAAATGCTTTCAATATAAATCGTGATTCAAATTTTGTAACGCTATTTACAGCATCCAATATATAAACGTAGCGATTCGAAAGGAAGTTAGTTTGAGTATGGAGAAGCACACAAAGGACTATCTGCCTTGGAGAATGCTTTCATGTAAGGCTTTCTAAAGGAAACTGGATCGTATTCACGGTACATACTAAGCAAACCACAAAATCCAAACCGTTCTGACTGGAATCGACCCAACTTTCAACTTTCTCAAACCCCTCGGATAATGGTTGGGCCACTCAGTTCGAAAGGAAATACACCTAGTTAAGAAAAGAATGAATTAAATCTTGTTTGAAAGGAAAGGAAATATTAAAATCAGCTCTAATTTGCTTTTTGATTAATTCATATTATTTTGCAATGAGAAATCTGCTGAAGATGTGCACTTTTGTTAGGAATTACATTTAAGTGCAGAGGCGTATGGTTATTATTAAGAGGTAACACTAGGCAAGAAACAACCCAATAATTAAACATGAGCCACAAAAATTTAAAAGATAAATAAGTAACTTTTAAATTTGTGAGATTCATGTTAATTTTAAGAGGAAAAAAAAAGATTCATATCTAACCAGTGTTGATATTAAATTCTTCAGAGCACGGAGCGAACTAAAATTGCAGTGATCTCTTTCAGATTGTTTTTGATTACTCTCACTTTCAAAAGCATTAATTGCAAACGTAAACGGTGATCAGCTGAGTGCGTCCATGCCATATACATTTTTTTCTTGTTGCCTTTCTTTTTAATTCGGTATTTTTTCTTTTTGCCTTTCTGAATCATATTAAACAAGATGCTCTGATACTATCGTTAACGCTAGAAATGATAACAAAAGTAACAACAGATAATAATGAAGATAATAACTAAAATAGGTAACTCATATCTTAAACTTCGTTCATTTCATAATATTTTAAAACTAAAATCCAAACAGTTTGCACATTTCAAATCATGAAATCAAATTATAATGATAAGGTTTATGACATCCAATTGATTGTAGTATTAGACTCTTTAAAGTATATAAAGAGTATCCTTTTAAGTATATAAAAATAACATCTTACCTGTTTCAGAAAACGAATGTCTTAAAACATAGAATTCCATTTTAAACTTTCTTGCAAATCGTTGCCATACTCCACTCCAAAACAAACAAAAAAATTAAATTGAACATTTTGACATTTTTCAGAGTTTTTAGATATCGAATGAGCATTTTTTTTGTGTTAATAGTTCGTGTAAATTTTGTGAATAAACATGCTAGGAAAAATAAATAAATAAATAAAAATAATAATAAATAAATAAATAAATAAATAAATAAATAAAAAATAAAAATTTAACCAAGAGTTTTAAGCCTTTTCTAACCAAGCGATAGCAATTTTTTTTCAAATTCGAAGTGCAAGATTGCTAAGTTTGGCGCAATTACAACTGACGACAGAAACATGAACAAATTTTTATATGTTCATTAATTTGAATCCCTATATAAATTGTATAGCAATGTAATGTTCATTTAGTTCATTTTAATCTAATGTTCATATTTTCAGTCTCTTTCATTTAATAAACCAGCTGTTCTTGCTTTGTAATTTGATTATGTAAAAAGGTATGGCAACACTTAATATTCTGTATAAACAGAGATAAGTTGACTGGGCCATGACGCACACATTTTTTTGCCTTTTCTAATATAAAATATCACAAATTCTGTATTCCTTTTTACCTTTCTCAACAATATTAACCTTATTTATTTATTTATTTTTAAATTTCATTTATTTAAAGAAGAAAAACAGACAGAGCAGCTTAAAATGATTTGTTCTTTGAAGAAAATAATTTGAGTCATCTTCTTTAGAAAAGCACAGAGATCTGTTCTGAAATGAATGCCAACCCGAAGTCAGGTTTGTCTAATTTTGAGCTTCATGTCTCAACTTGAACTGATTTTAAATGGCCGACAGGCATAATTTAAAGAATTAATGCTGAAAAAGGGCCTTTCGAATAGTTTAAATATATTCTTTTTAATTAAACGATTTATCTTTTCATTTTTAGAAGCCGTTTATGAAAATTATAGAGTAAATTTTTCTCAATAATTTACATTCCTTATTTTTTTTTCCTTTTTTTAAATCTTTCTTAAAATTTCAAAATCGCGTTTGTTGTTTTGCTAATTATGTTACATATCGTGTTTCGTAGTGTGAAATTTTCGTAATATCACATCTTAATTTATCATATTATTAAACTGAACAACTGTTAATAACCCTGTTATAAGTGTTTTACCTGAATAAAAAGAGTAACATTAAGTAGAATTGGATCTAATAGTTTTCTTACGTTGGAGGCTGCTTGGCGTCAGAATTGCAAGCGTTATGTACAAGTAAATAGGGAAACTTATCATTTGTATTTTAGGAGCATTTTATGCTACGTCATCAATGCAGATCAGTCTCAGTTATCGTATTAAAGATAGCAATCACAAGTTGAGAGTTTTGCCTTTTGCCCGACTGTGAATCCCTTTTTCCGCTTCAGGACAAATTCTTTGAAGTGATTCATAATACATGATTCGTAATTTATTACTTCAATTAAACTGTTATTGTTGCAGAAATTTTGACGAAGTTTCTGTAGTAATATGATTAGATATCGTATTAATTTTGATTAATAGTTTGAGAAATTATAAATGACTCAATAGCGTTTTCTGAAAATTTCTATATTATATAAAAAGTTCATTAAAGTGATAAATATATTAAATTTTCAAAATTTATGAAATATATTAAAATATAAAATAGTTCGGATTTGAATTTTAAATGTAAATATCTCAGAAATGGTTTGATTCGTAAGCTTATATTTCATTTTATTTATTCGTTAATTAAAATTAATAATATTTTTATTTTTAAAATAATAAATATTAAAAATTTAATATTTTTTATCTTTAAACAAATTTATATCATGCTAAAAAAATTAATTGAGTTTTATTTAACATAATCCCTACTGCATACCCTAATATTATTGTTTAATTTATTTACAAAATGTTGCTTTTGCTTTTAATATGATATAAATTTAAAATTGTAATTATTATGGTAGCTTGAACTATGATACGAGTTATCAGAGATGCGTAATTTTCATATTAAACAATGGTATCTTTCTTAAAAATAAAAACGTCAAAAAGGAAAATTTCGATGTTATTGGAAACAAATGAATAAATCTGTGAAAAAATACCAAAAAGCAGTGCTTCTTGAACATACAATAATCAGATAAAATACTGCAATAATATGGAAGAAACTAATTGAGTTATCTTCCTTGAATATTTGTTTTCTATTTGTAACTACGATGTTAAATATTTCAAAATATCTATCAATCTTTTTGAGACACTGATCGCTTTTTCCGTCGGTCGCCTTTCTGTTGAGTTTTGAGCAATTTCCGAAACATATAACAAAGTTTAAAATACATGCATAACGCTTTCAGAGTTTTACGGATCCTTTCTTTAGTTTTACGGATTTGTTATGCTTTCTTGCAGGATTTACAATTCACTTGGTATATCTGTCACGCGGTATGAGTGAGACTCTATCACAGCCTCTCTCTCATATTTCGCTAAAGCAGAAATTTCCTCTTTTTGTGAGGTTTTCCAATATGAAGTGGTCTGAGGTTTCTCCGTTTCATTGATTTACATACTTGACCTTTCACCGTGATTTCCATTCTCGTTAGTTTATTACTTTTGTTAGTTAATGCGCTCCCATGTACTAATATGTGTTGCCTGAATTCTCGACATTCTCTTGCTGGAAAGTTGTGATACTTCTTTAATATATTGTTTTCCATGACATAGTTTTCGTGTATTTTTTATAAGAATGAATAGATTCTTAAATTTCAAGGTTCCATTGTTTAATTTCAAAAAATAATTTAATAGAGATATGAAAAATGAAGTGAGAATAAATAATAAAATAATCTACGTATTTTCGCATAAAAAGTGATAAGTTTTATTCTACGTGGGCTGTAATAATTTCGGTAATTTTCTCAAATTTCAATAACTATTAGTCATCGAGCACTGTAATCCTCGTTTTCTATTTTAACAATTGGAGATAGAATTATTTTTATGATTTTATTACATAGGGAAAGTAAAGTGTAGCCAGTTTTCTTCAGAATGTTCTCCTCCCTAGGTAATTCTAAAGAAGATTCTTTCTTTCCATTGCCAATATGCTTATTATTTGTCATGTTACTTAAAGTACGAAAAATAATAAATAATTAATGGATACTAAGACGTGTGTGTCTCTGCCTGTCAGTTATTACGACATTTATTAGCACTAGTGGAGGCATCCTCTTAAAGCGTAAAAGTTTCAACTCAAATAGAATTTATCAGCGTTAATGAAACACAGCAAGTAAAATAACACGTCCTTAAAGAGTATGAAGACAGACAGTCGTCTCCAAAACACAGTGACCTACAATAGTACCATTCATCGAAATTTATGCAGCGTAAAGGAAGTCATTATATTACTCTTTTCTTACTTATTTTTTACCAATTCCTCATTTTTCATAACGCCTTTGCGTGCGTGTCGGCAATGATGACAGCTGAGAACATCATGCAGATAGATTGAGAGACAGTTCCGTATTAACGCAACCCACCCATACGCTAGTCATCGATCTGGATACCAAAAAAAAAAAAAAAAAAAATCTGCTGAAGAATCATCTGCATAATTTCGACCTCATTTCGTCGAATTTTACTTACGCCTTCAGACAACATTCTAATAATGGAGTACTAGGGTTCTGTGTCAATCCTGGAAGAAGCTGCGTAATGTACTCTGACCTAACTGCGGTTGAGGCTTCTTCTACAGCTGTAGCAATAGGAAGTGTGACCTCAGAGCTGGAAGGATTATAGTTTGCATCGAAAGCTTCTTCCGACACTTCTAGGTCTACCTGTGAGATAATTAGATAAATGACAGCATCAAAGATGTAAAATTATGCTTTCAGATATCTTGAACAAGAACGGATAAGGAACTTAAAGTTCAGAAAATTATTCCAGAAGGTGTCATATTACATTCATGAATGAAATTTTGCAACATGTAAATGAGGATAGAGATTTTTAGCAATGAAAAAGAACTCAGATATCCAGTTTTGTCTTAGTTTTATTATGCTAGAAATTGCTAAATTTAACAAACATTTTTAACAAACTTTAAAAAGAGCTGGATTTAATTTATTGAAGTAAAAGAAACAACAATGATTTAAAATTTTAAGGAAGATTCGATAATACGATATAACGTCCATTAAACAAACTTCGAAAATTCAAAATTTTAGTTAAATCGAACCGAAGATGAAACATATTAAAAATTCGTGGTAAATCTTCTCAACATGCTGAACTTTTTTAACTCAAAAAAATCGATAACTGAACAGCTTTTAATCAGATTGTCCTAAACATCCTCTATAGAATTCTTAAATTCGAAATTTGTTTTACTTCTGTGCTTTTGTGCTTTTTTGAATCAGTCAGAACCTAATCATAACCATTCACATTTGCTTGGAAGTGATCCAGCTCTTTGATATTTTACATTTTTATTCTAGGTTTTGAAACATTTTTATATACGTCACACAACAACGTCAGCGTTTACTCACGATCGAACGTTTATTCACGATTATTACGTCCCGTTTACTCATAGATCGAAGAGTCCTCTCACTTCAGTTTTGAACATGATTTACATTACAGGATGTTAGAATTTCTGCTTGCTCTAAATATTTATTAACCAGCTGTTATATGTTTTAAATACACGAGCATCAGAAATATTTCTTTTAAAGTCAATCTTCAATACATGATAGTAGTGTTGCTTTTATACATTTCAGAACTAAACTAATCTGAAAAAATATTTTTAAATCAAGAATAGAGTAGACATATGATATTCTCATGCTCCCTGATGTCATAGCAGAAATTTATGGTAACGCTTTTTTATTTTGTTGATGTTTCAATATTTCTTACGTATCTGTCCATGCAAATGTTTCTCAAAACTAGCAATTTTTACCAAAGAAATATTACACACATATATAAAAAACTTAAATACAAAATAATAACTTGCTACAAACAAAAATTAACTTCAAAAACCTAATGCTAATCACGCGTTGTAAGCTGCAATAATTAAGTGGTAATGATCATTAAAATTAAGACAAAATCAAAGATTCAAATATCATATTTAGTTTCGCAAAGCAGGAAATGAAATGCCATGTAAACTGCAAAATTGCAAAAAGTGTAAATAGTTACCGTATCAATTGACACGATACAGAAAACTGTAAAAATCAAAATTTTGTGGAAAATTTACTTTTATTATAATTTTAAAATAAAAAAAAAAACGAGAGCAGTTCCAAAATTACCAGATACACCAAAGCGTTATTAAAAGAAATTCGAATAAATTATCTCTTCAAATGCATGAAAAATGCAAAAAATAAAATCAAATGGATTTTGCACTGTTCGATCCATCTTCATCAAGGGGTTTGGGTATCGAGAAATGTCAAAGTGAATGGTCTGTTTCTGAGCTAACAAATTCGCAATTCAGAAAATTAAATAAACTACAGGAAATAATATAATGAAACCAAACTGTGCGTTTACTAACGCAGCCCCGACATTCTGAAATCGAAGAAGAATTTTGCTTGAATTTAATTAAAATAATGAAACAAACGAAAAAAAGGATCTGAAGTTAAATATATAAAAATATGTAGTTTGAAGGTTAATTTAAAATTAAAAAATCTGATATGTACACCACATGAGTTCCTTGTACGGAATATTAAATTTCATTTAAACTTATTGGATTGAATTAAATCTACTTCGTCAAAAGTGCATAAACCACAATAGAATAAATGCACTCTTTAAAATTCTCTGTATTTGTTTACCATAGCGACACTCTGGCGTTAAGTTCACTTAACAGCATTATATTTCGTTCATATTATAACTCAGAATGCGCAAAATTCATATCACTTGAAGAATTATCTAATAATTGCCACATGTTCTAAAACAGTTTTTTTCAAAGACGATTCAGTATTTCTCATTCAATTAATTCAGTCCTCACTTCAGGGCTAAAATATATAAAAACTCATAATATCTATATAAAAAATTACGAAGTAAATCTTAAACACTTATTTCGAAAAAATTCCGGAAAGAATTAAGCATGACTTAATTCGCAATAATAAATGAAGGCGTTATCTTTGTTGTTGTGAAGCTTAGTCTCTATAGATCGGCAAGAAATCTACTATTCTGCTGTTTCAAATGTAAACAAGCATGTCCGCCATATTATTTAAAAATTAGGCTTAACCGCACTTAAACAGCTTTTAAATTGTTGATAATTCTACAAATATTGCTTCCAGAATTACGAAAGGCATAAAAACCTTAATCGGAAGATAAGAACAACATAATTCAATCATTTTTATGTTGTTCTTGAAAAAAATGCACAAATTACAGACATACGTATAAAATTAAAGAAACTGAAATTACTGAGCCGGGTTTTATATACGTTTGGTGCAGCCGATTGCATTCAAAAATACGAGGTGCACATCTACATGTTATAGCAGTCCTATATGCAAAATTTCAACGTTCTGAGGGTACTCGTTTTTGAGTTATACGAGATACGTACGTACGTACGTACAGACACCACGAAAAGTTATCTTCAGAATTCATTTTAAAGCAGTTTATAATTTTTTTGGAGGTAAAGAGTCTTTTATTCTGTCCTTACGCACAGATGTCAAGCGAAAACATCGTTAAATTGCATTCGATAGCGGTCAAAATGGATATTTTCGATGAAATATGCTGCCTGAAACTTTTCGCGACTACAATACTTCCTTTTTACTTCGTACAAGGAAGTAAAAATGAATATTTTAAAATAAAAAATGAATAATAATGTGTTTGGAAATACAAAGCTGTATTTTTAAAAAATAATATAAGTAATTTTTAATAGTACGTTTATCTTGGTTCATTTGATTAAGGCAAAGCATGCGAGACTGCCTAAGGGGAGAGATGTCTTGTATCTACTTTATACAAAATGGAAATCCATGAAAACGTCCATCCAGACAGTTCGTTCACTTGGAATCGAACTTAGGTCTAACTACTGTGCTGAGCTTCTTTAACACTTCGATGCCGAGTAGAACATAGTAAACTATAATCAAGGAACTAATATTTCGTATTGACAATAATAAATTAATGTATAATAATACTAAAATACTAAATTTAATTTACATGAGCATGAAAAGTGCAAACAAATCATGTAAATTAAGAAAAAGATTTTGAGTTATAAATCTAATAATTAAAAAGTATTCGAAAACAGGAATAAATCTGTAAAAATAATATACAGTAAGACCCCGCTTAACGCGGGGGATACGTTCCATCGAAGTAGAGCGTAATGCGAAACAGCGCTAAGCGAGGCTATCTTAACATGTAAATAATGGGGTTAGGGGAAGACGGATAAAAAAATGGTTAGGCATTAAATTTAATAATGTTTTTTTAATAAAAATAAAATCAAACATTTATTTCTTACAAAAATAAAAACAATATAAACGCATATACTTTTAAAAACAAATAAAATTCTCAGTCAGATCATTCAGTCTATTCTGGGTTTCCAATTTTCTGCCTTTTTTTGTCAAGAAGGCATTATGATAGATTGGCTTAATGGCATATTGCGTTCAATTTCGTCGTCAATCCATATAGACAGTCGTTTTTCCATCTCCTCTATAATGTTATTTCTAGAACGGGTAATTCTAGTTGCAGAGCTTGACGTAGTTGCAGTTGCCGACGACAGTATTTTTTCTTTATTCTTAAGAATTGTCCTTATTGTTGAAGTTGCCAAAATCAATGCAGCACTAATTTGAAATTGACGTTCACCAAAATCTAATCTTCTAATCACTTGCATTTGAGTTTCCAGTGAAATGCTTTTTCTGGTTGCTTTCTTTTCTTGTTTTTTATTATCACCCATGATAAAAACTAAAGATCATAATATTTGTCACTGTATTAATCGTTATAGTATTATACAAATTTTGTTTCGGATATGTTATTTGGAAACCTAGCGCTGCGCACAATTTCGGAGAATCCCCGGGTTGAAATAAAAGAGCGCTAAACCGAAACAGCGCTAAACGAAACAGCGTTAAGCGGGGTCTTACTGTAACCCTAACATATGCAAATTGTTAGGGTTGAATTATTTGTACATATTTATTTTAGTGACTAAGTATTAATCATTTAGTGTTAATCGACCTAAAATTTTTAATAATGTTCAAGCCAACATACTATATATTTAGTAAATATAAATACATTTAATGCAGTTAGATATAGAAGAGTTAAAATGTTTTTACCTTAAAAGTGGAATGAATTCTTGATCCAGGAATTCCTCCATGCACAAACAAATTAGCGAGCAAAGTTCTTAGTAAATAATAAATGGAAGCGGAAAAACTTTAATTTAACAAATGTGTGTGCGTAAAATAAGAATACGTAAAGCAAAGTTTTAATTTTAATTTGCAATAGTCCATTTTATTCTTCATTTTACTTTGTGTCCTTCCTTTCTTTAAAAATAGTAACTATTTATAACATATTAATCTAAACTTTTGAATCTGGGAAAGCTTCGGTTACCGCATATGCGGGCAATATGATCATCGTTTGCCTGCATGCCCGGAAGAATTATCACCCGGACTCATACGATGGGCTCTTAGATTGCAAGAAATTAAAGTAGATGATGAGAAAAGCAAGATGAAACGTGCAATGTTAAAATCAAAATTTTGGACTCTCTAGAAACAGTTATAGCAAAACTACAAACAGACTCGGAATTTTAAAATATTTATGTGTCTTTGAAAGTTCCCGACCACTTTGAACACTATGATATGAAGGATATTTGAAACACAGCTGCAAATTAAGAAATCATTGCACACGATTTGTTTTATTCCTAGTAACAAATAGTAATGAT